ATAGCATCCTTCCTTCTCTCCCTCTCTCTCCCTCCTTCACTCTCTCTCTCTCTCTCTCTCTCTCTCTCTCTCTCTCATCCCCTCTCACTATCTCACTCTCTTTCTAAAACATATCTATATAAAAGTATATGAAAGTCATAACTTTTATGACCCATTAACTTATATAAATGCTTTTTACAATCAGATTTTTATAATAATAAAAAGGTTGATGAAAAATTAATGATAAGGCGTATTGGAGGATATAGCGCGAGGAAGTAGTGTGTAGCACAATTATTATGTATTAGGATTTACTGCGCTAAATTATTTTATACGCATACGCAGTCACAAAATAAGATAATAATACATTATACGTGAATATTCATGTGATAGCGACGTTGAAAACTATTTGTAATTGTATTATTTCATGTGAAAACGTTAAAAACATTCGTAACGCCGTATTGCACACAAGTATACATTTTCTGGTTCCAACTACATTTGCTTTTCCTTTATGAAAGCGAAAGACAAACATCCAAAGACGAGAAAATCACACGGTAGAAATTCGTATAATTCATGCTCTATATGAATTACCTTCGTAAGCTTTCCACGAATAGCAAAATTTTTTACAGATTTTTACGTGACCTAGGCTGTCTTGCATAAATTATTAAAAACTTTATATACCTAGTTTATATATGGAGAAAATAGATTTTCAACCAAATGTAATTAATCGTTGGATTCAATGTTAATGGAGGATAAGAAGTTACGTGGTGCTTGTAAATCAAACGGCATTTATTATTACGCAAAGAGTTAATTAATGTTAAATAATAATTACAATTCGTAACGGTTGTGAGAAAAAATAATAATTTTGGAAAGCCTGCTTGTACTTGCGGAATGAAAATATGCATAAAAAGCGCAACGAAATTATTACATCTTGAAATTGCGATGTCACGTCAACGGCTGAACAACTTCTGTAACCTTGAAATATGGATTTACCTTTAAGCGGTAAAGATTCTGTATGAATTATGCGGAAGGTACTTTGAACTCTCAAATTTTGTACACGATAAACTTGGCGCGAACCATCAGCCATGCCGTATCGACATAATCTATCGATGCCAGTAAAGCTCTAACCTATTCCTCGGATTTCTCAAATGCCGACGTAGGTTGACGTCCTAGCCGTTTGCAAGTCGCTCGGCAGCAACGAGCCACCGCCCTAATCATCGGTGCATGGACCTCGCGGCCGACGCGCAATTCTTGAAAAATCCTTAGCCAAGTGCTCGGCAATCGCACCAGGTCCGTCGTTCCTTTTGGCGTCTCGTCACTTGGCGGAGTAATGCGAGCCGATGTTGGACGAGGAGCCCCGATGATGGTGGTGATGGTGCTGCTTGTGCGCAGGCCCGGAGTAACGGCTGCCCGGCCGCGAGTGCACAATCGCGTAGTGATCGCTGTTCGTGGAAATGGAGCGCGTCGAGTTCATCGTCGAGCCGCCGGACGTGTAGCCGGGCTTGCCGTTCAGCGAGTACCTGGAAGAATGGACGACGTGGATTGTGAGTGGACGCTAGGTTATTTGGTGGAAGGGGAGGGGGTCGGGGTGGTGGACTGCATGTTGGCAAGCGCTGGCAAATTTCGATTGCCGGAGATGTGTATTGATGAGGGGGAGCGAGCATGTGGGATGCATCGTCGATGGTAAATGTTGCGAGAGTTTGTGGATGAGACGGACCCTCGAGTTAGGTCGACAAGTTAAGCGGTATAGTTATTAATCCGCTACTCTTGCAACAAACTTAACCATCGCTAATAATAATTATAATGATTTTTATTATTGTCTTTGTCACTGTCGCGGTTGTTTTACTGTTATTGTTATTGTTGTTGTTGTTGTTGTTGTTATTGTTGTTATTGTTATTGTTATTGTTGTTGTCGTCGTCGTTGTTGTTATTGTTATTGTTGTTGTTGTTGTTGTTGTTGTCGTCGTCGTTTTTGTTATATGTAGAGTCGAGAATAATTAATGCATTAGGCCAATCAGAATGTATTATATGGTAATATGTAAGGGTCGTTAGATGAAATGAATGGAGCGAGGATTCTTTAATAGTTTTATGCAATCATTATTAATATATAATAAATCTATGCAGTCGATAACATTTAATTACCCACATTAATATTAATGTTGGCACTCTTAGAATTTTTCAGGTTTTAATCCGATTTCCTTTTGAAGTTTCTGCCTCGTTAATCATTTCACTAAAAATTCCATGTAAAATAATACGCAATGAATTTTCACGAACAATGAAATCTTACTTTCACTTTAAAACAGAATGAAAAATGTATTTTCTGATTCTGAACTGATATGAATTGTGTGATATGTGCCAGCAACATAATGTTTTCCTCAAAGAGATACGTTTTAAATATTTTTCATACATTTGACCCTCCCCCCCCCCTCCCGTTATCTCCCTCTATTTCGCTTGCGGTTTCTCTGCCGTACATGTTAAATTAATGTAAACAATAAAATGGAATATTCTTTATAATACTCATCACATGTTAAAATTCGTCGTTCGCTATGTATTCGTTAAATATACAAATATTGTAAAACAATGCAATTAAATTGATTGCTTGGTCTTATGTAAAAATCTTGTGATATTAATATTTTAGAAATGTAATTCAATCATAAATTAATTGTTTTAAGTAATAAAGCAATTACAATGTTAAAGTTTGTCGTAAATATGGAAATTGCGCGAATGACTTTAACATTTTCGGTTACTTGTATTTTGAAACCTTGCAAGATAATGAGTATGTACGCGCATGCTTGTAAATAAATTTCAATTGTCCCTTGTATTTACGACGCGTCTTTTTCAATCTTCATTTCATAGCAAACTTTCGCAAAATCGTCCCTATTAAATATTTCAATCAACAATATCCATGAGTATAAATTACACAGACTGAAAATTTTACCGACATACTTGCAATAGTAAATACTCTGCCCGCGCGCGCGTGCGCATGTATAATATTTATAAAATAGAAGTGAATTTATCGATCTCCGTTAAAAATCCAATCGTTTCCCGAGATTATAGATTTTTTTTTTCAACGCGATAATAAATAAATCAAAATGAAATCCTGGCAATACATACGCATGCATGCGCCGATTAACACGCGATTGAGCCAATAAATCATGCAAACAAGCAAAGTACGTATAAGACAGAAAGAGTGCGGCAGAGGCATTTGGAGGGCCATCGATATAGCATAATTAAAGTCTACTCGTATTTTGGTTTTTAATCGTATGATTAAGATTCGAACCTAGAGCCATACTGAGATCCGTGCCAACTGCGATAAGGATCGTAGTCCTCGATGATCGAGGGCTCCTTCTCGATGATCTCCGTGCGCGCGCAGCTGCATGTCATCGCCGAGCAGAGGAAGATGTTGATTATGAACATTATGAGGAGAAGGATGCCCAGGGCGATGGCGAGCCAGAGGAGCCAACCCGGGTGCACGGCACCGTCGTCGCATAGCGGCTGCAGCACTGCACAATCAAAAGTGGGTTACGGCATTTGGAGCTAATCGTAAAAGCACTTCCGCTCTTTCGTCCCACTTCACTTTAATTCCCGTGGAATCAAGGTTTGACGAACGGTGCTCGTGTTCGCGAGCTACTCGACGCTTTACGTGCCCGTGTCGTTTATGGTGTCGATTCCCCGTAAATCGCCCAACATTTCCTCTCCACCTTTGTTACAGTTTCCTGTCTCTTCGGCCTTTGAATTTAATATTAACATACTCTGCACGGCCGTCTCGATTGGCTAAGAAAACTTTGCCGAGCAACCGCTGATTTACAATAGAAAAGAGTAGTACAGAGTGTGCGTATAACATATCATTTTGATCCTTCGCTTTACAGCTTAACTACTTAATAAAGCATCTTTCGCCTTTATAGACTATAATTTTATATAATTTTTTGCGCCCGCGCACGTCGCAAAAGAAGCAGTAACGGTGTAAAAATTATTGCCGTAAAGTTGATGGTAATGTGATAAAAATAGAAACTTCTTGTTTAATCCGACGTTCTTTAAAATGAAATTCTACATTGATCATTTATGGATTGAGTTAGCGTGGGTTGTCTAATTTAAGGGTCTATAAATATTTATTATTACTAGAAAGAACATTTGGATAATTGAGAAATGTTCTCGAGTTATAATTAGAAATTAACTTAGTGAAATTATAAAGAAATTTAAGACAAGCATACAATATAATTGTGTGGACAATAATATGGATTATTGGATTGTTTTAAGGTTCGATAAGATGTATTCGGGAGTTCGGGACAATAAGCAATTAATGATAAAAAATCTACGATTTTAAAATCTTTGTGCTCGTGTTTCCCGGAAACTTAAGGCTGCCCAATTAGACGGATGAAGCACTTCGATATCAAATGTATAAGCACATGCGGGTTTTTTTTTTCTTTTTTTTTTTTTTTAAATCATTTAAAGAGCGTAGCCCGGCTAGATTTGAATTGTAAAATAAGAAATAAATGATAAAATGCACGTTAGAGGCTAAGAATTTGCAATAATTCATCGATTCGCAAAATATAATGGCCATTATGGGCGTAAATTATGAATTAAGTAAGAAAATATCGAAAAATTGAAAACAGGCTTGTAAGTGTATAAATACACTTCAACGTCAAAATCTCGATGTTAAATAAATCTAAAGGTTTCTTATTATTAAGTTCTGGCGTGTATTATCAGATAGCGCAAACACATTATGACAAAAGCTCGCTTTTGCCCTGAAAATCCTTTCTGACATCTGCCTATCGGAACCAGTGATTGTCTTGCGTAACTTACTGGGAGTGTCGCCAGGGCTAAGAACAAATACGCTCGTTCCGGCGTGCAGGACCGCCTCTTCCTCTCTCGGTACTATTTGTCCTTTGGTTGGCGCAAAATTGCCGTTCTTTATTCCAACGGCGTTTTCATCGCCGTCGCAGACGGGCTCGCCGCAGCTTTCTATTAAAAAATCATCATAATGATTCACGCGTTGAGAAGTCCGCGAAACAATTTTAATGCACACAATGGATTTATTATGGTTGGTGGTGGGGGTTCGGTAAGAGTCGCGCCGATCTACAATTGAATCCATTACGAATACAAACGAATTATCGTCGGGTAGGGGAACCGATCGTTCTAGGCCCGATCGCGCATAATACGTTGCTTCCGAATCTAATTTATTGACGGGTGACTGTCACGATTAGCGAGTGGAAGTACACGATTACCCGCTCGTAGCGTGGCGGCGCAATGGCCAACATTCAAGGCCACAGTCAAACAATTATCATTGATTATAATAATTATAAATGCCTTGCCGAGACAAAAATGCACTTTTACCGATGACCCAACATTTTCATCAATGCTGTCGAGCAGCTACGGTCTGGCAATATTTAAAAGAAGAGAGAAGGATAAAAAAGAACGCTCGTTTCGATACACTATGAGTTGTATAATTATATCTGTCGAATAATTCTTACCTTTACAAAGTACGATTTCACACTGGAGATGCAGTTGCTTTTGCGTATCGGAGAATCGGAACGCCGAGAGCATAGCCTCGGCCGTTCCGGCATTTCGATTGTAGACGAATTTTGAGATGAATTTCGCTTTGTCGGGACACCTTGCAAATAAGCGCACGATTATATTATTGTGATATCTCAAGTATTCGCTTATGGCTGTCGGTTTGTTTGCGTTAGTTAAAATTATAAAAATTACCCTCTCTCGTCGATAATCGTGACGTTGTGGTTGTCGGTGTCGAAGCCTAGACACGACTTCACTCGAAAACCATAAGCACCTAAAATTGGGAAACAAAATTTACCGTTAGCGTAGCACTTCATTCGTACGTAAAATGTCATTATTATGTAAATGTAATCCGTTTGTATTCAAATTTTACGATGCCAATACAATCGAGCCTTTGATTTATTCTGGCTTCGTATAAGTAAGGAATCAAACGACATTCGATGTATTAGCTTGATGCAAATTCAAAAAAAAAAAATAAAAAAATTTCGACCAGGAATG